CTGTAGCAATGGTAGATTTTCCAGTACAGATACTGACGTACGCTCCGTTGATCTCTACATAGCCAGTTCCTTCACCGAATCAAAAATGCTTCTGTAGATCAATTAGCATACCACCAGTGGTTAAGTAGTTAAAGGCCTAAGGGTGAGACTTAAGGGATTATACTTGCTGCACAAGACCAGAGTCTGCTTACACGCAACTATCAAGCTAATATTTTGCATGATAGGACGGACCCAAAATGTAGGCTCTGTGACCGATACATTGAAACTATTGATCGGATTATCTCAGGATACTTAATCCTCACACCCAATGACGTGGCAGGTCAATATTTGCATTGGAAGATCTGTCATTCCTATGGGATAAAAAATACAGCTGGAAACTGGTATGAACTTTAACCTGGCTCTGTAGTAGCGGGGTGTGGGTGCGGACTACAAGCCGGAGTGACAAAGGAAAGCAGCACATATCTTACCTAACAAGCTTGTGTAAATGGTTTGTAGAACTCGTATTAGGAGAGATAGCATAAAGACGTATATTGATATGAACTACAAAGAACAGTAACACGTGTATAGCCATGATCGTCCTAGTTCTGAAGGATACAAGAGAGAGAGAGAGAGAGAGAGAGAGAGAGAGAGAGAAAGAGAGAAAGAGATAAAGACAGAAGCATACAGTCAGACATACAGATATATAATGGATATAATGGACTCTCCCGTCGGTTTCGTCGTATGAGGATCTGCCAGCTTATTGATTCAGCTATGAAAGATTATGCGATAATCTTTAGTGGCATTTAAGACCCGCTAGTGATTTAAAGAGGAGGCCACATATGGAGCAGGTGTGAGAATTGTGAAATGAGATCACTGTTAGATTGGCTGACCTTTTAGATCTTGCTCTAGCTTCTTGAAGATGATTCAGACAAGCAGATTGAAAATTGCTGAGTCCACTAAAACACGTTGATCTCTATTCTACCCGCTCCAAAGCTAAGCGCTCAAGGGTGTTATGTGGTATATTGACTGCTGACAAATTGCTTTTCAGCTTGTCTTTGTATCTTAGCCATGGGCGTCCTACATTCCTGTAGCCCTGATCTAACTGGCTGTACATTAGGATCTTGGGTATCCTGTCATCAGACATTCTCAAGACATAACCAGTCCACCGTAACTGAGACTGTATGATAAAAGTCTCGATTCCTCCAATATTACACCTGTTAAACAGGTCTACGGTAGATATCCTATCTTGAAACTTAACTCCACAGATTGACAGAAATATATATATATATTTTTTTTTTTCTTCCTGAATATGTCATGCCATTTCACTCACGATAGATTGAATTACCAAGATTATTTTTGAAAGATAACGAAGTGGTTTCCTGTTAAACCTTATCCCATACTATTTGCTGTAGTTGTTCTTCTCTCAGTCTGTTTGCTAGAGGTTGTTCTGCTATTAAAGACATAGCTGCTGGTGGAGGAGAAAACATATTCTTGCTTTTTCCAAAATCATTAATGCAAGAATATAATATAGTGTATTATATATCACTCATATTTTAGAAAAAAATAGAAAAATTACCGGCTCGTTTTATCCGTATGGACTTCGTTGGACGAAATTATTATTTATGTTGATGTGATTACACACACCAAGAGAGGGCACTGAAATTTAAAATTATTTTTTTTTTAAACAGGTGTTTTTTAGATATATATCCGATTTCATTGAGTTTCTTTTTCTTGTTTTTTTTATCACTTTTACTATCAAATATCATATGCAACATTATGAAAATAGAAAATCTATCAAAAAACGGGTCGCACGAAAATATATTCCACTTTGTCATAGATTTTCATAAGATTGTATTTCATATATAAAAAAATATCATTTCTCCATATCACTTTTTAAAATCAATTACCCCACCCCCAAGCAAGGTGATTATGCCACTAAGATACGAGACCTTACTGAGAGTGAAAGATTTAGAAGAAACCAGAAAAAAACTCTAAACAGGGAACAAGGGATAAACCTCTACTCTTGTTCAGCAAACTGGGGAGGAGAGTAAACCGGGTTATAGGCGAACATATCTACTCCTATTAAGAAGAAGAAAAAAACTAATTAGGAAATAAAATTCAGGGGGAGATGTTATAAGTAGAGAGTTGAAATAGACTTTAGAAGGAACCGGAAACACAGTCCTAAACAGTAAACAAGCTATAAACCTCTACACCTCTTCTCTTTATTTAGGAAAACAAATAAAAGATAAATACTAAATAAAATTACGGTGTTCATACATGGAGTCGAAGTAAAATGAACCGGAAACCCAATTCTAAACAGGAAACAAGAGATAAATCTTTACTCTTGTTCAAAAGGACCAGAAGAAGTGTGAACTTGGTAATAACTGAATCTATATATTCCTACTGAGAAGGAAAATCAGTATAATGGAATGAAATTGGTTAGGTTGGAACTTGAACTCGAATCACCGATTACACTCACCTCACTGTTAAATCTTATGCTAATCACGCATCCTAAATCAAC